CCCATAAAGGTCCGAACATCCCAATTTTCGAATGGTTGTAACCACAGGATCTTGATCGTCATCCTGGGGACGGCCCCAAGTGAAAAGACGGTCTTCGCCGTAGAGTTGTCTATTAGAAAACGCCAACTGAAGAGTTACAGACTGTTGGACAGAGAAGCAAAACTCTCGTATGCATCATGTTTACAAAAACGGAATGCCCATTTTCTCCTCGAGCACGTCTTCCTGAATTTTTCTGGATGTTCATTGACTGCTTCTCTAATGCAAGCAAATGCTACAAAGCGACTCCATAAATTCCGTACTAGCTCACTTTTCAAGAGATGCGAAGCGGATTTATGAGAAAATATGCTACTCGCATATCCCATCAACGGTATCCACCGTTACACTGGTAGTGGAGTGTTTCGAGTCTCACTGTTTATATATATATATATATATATACATATTGTAGTGCCCACTCCCTGGAGAAACAGATAGGTACGCTTTCTGTTTTGATTGACAAGGTGGATTTTGGTACGGTGTAGCCTCTGTCCTGCCGGAGGCAGCTACAGTTATGCACGTCGATGTAGACCACCGGCATCGCAGAGCATCTTCAGGCTATCCCAGGTATATTGGTGTGAGCTGCCATGTCACGTAGAAGCTTACCGCGATGTTGTGTGAGTGTTTGGTGAGCTGTGGGGCCAACCATCAGGTGGATTTTATATATATATATACATATATCAGGGTAAAATGCACTCTTGTGATAGGGAACGATGAGTTTGGTTTGGTTTTTGTTAGAGCCAGGCCGGGTGCCAACGTCACTGGACAGGGCCGATGGGGCAATACAGGTTAGGGAATTGACTGGAACGAGGTATGATTTGGTTGAAGAAAAAAGAAAAACAACCTCGCCAGTATCACAATATGTTAAGTTCAAGTAAGCGTTTGAGTCCTACAGTGGCTTGAGGCGAGTTAAGAGGATAGGATGATACCATGGTAAGATCTTTTACTTGAAGGAGTTGCGGAATCTGTAGTGAATGCCGGAGTTTACGCTTGGACTAGCCACTGCTATAAAGGCGTTTTTGTGCAGCAGACGGTTTGAGAGAGTTCGATTCGTCTTAAACCGTCTGGGCCATGGTGGTTTGAGGCCAAGGATTTAATAGCAGGAGGAGTAAGGGAGAGGGTTGGACGCCTCCAAATGTGTCTACAACTTTGGATATAAAGAAGGGGGAATGCATAAAAGAATTCCATAATTTATCGTACACAGCTTAAAAATCGCGACCACAGCATCCCTACAAATCGTCGCGAAGTTGAAGTTGTGGCCAAACAACTGTTATCCTCGTAACACATGGAATAGCCGCATATCATGGAAACGTTGTTGATGTCCTCAGATATTTTTCAAACATCTGATGATCTGTGGGCGGAGAACAAACAGTACGGAGCAAATAAGCTTTAGTGGAACGGCTAAAACCAACAACTGAACGTTATTATACTCGGGACTTTCGGCTTCGTGGTATAGTAACGGTGAATTTACCGAAATCTCCAGCGCCGAAGAGGTGGACAGCAACAAAGAGGCGAATTCTGGTCCCCATCATTTTACTTACTCTTCCCCTCTTTTATAAATATTGGGTCACTTAGTGGGCACCGGTCACCACCGTTTCAAGGATATTTCAGATGTTGGGCGTGCGGTGCAACCGAAGCCATCCGTCTAAAGAAAAATCCTCGAAACTCCTTTTGCTGTAACCAAAAGTTCGCCTTCTGACTGCATTAATGATGACTAATTGGTGACATCCTGTAAGCGGTTGTGGTCTTAAAGCAGCGGTTAACGAATACCCGGGGGTGTCCAAGCCCAGCTGCTCGCAGAACCCACCGTTGACTACCACGCAACAGCAGACCATTTACTGATATCGGATGTGCACGAGCATCGGGATTCAGTGATGGGAATTTGCCTTTAACTGACAAACAAGTAGAGATTTGGATACTCGCGGGCTATCCACAGCAATCTTACTACCGTTGAAACTTATATAGTTTTAGATATAAGTCCATGTGATGAACATGACTGATACTCTATTCGTTGCTCTATTCATTATTCTCTTGCTTTAATATTCCATATGCTGTACATATTCGCCAATTCGAATACATACGTGATGGTTGTTACGCTTCGCTGAATTCTGGATTTCTAGTTTGTCGCCGCAGGAACGACGCCGATTTCCTGCTTTTTACTGTCACCGCGGAAGCTTATCTCTTACTCCGGATGGTTTGCTGTGTTTTGAGGATAGAGTTGTCATTCCACCAACTCAGCGAGCGGCTGTTCTTGCAGATTTACACTCCGGTCATCTGGGTGTCGATAAAATGAAATCCCTTGCACACTTGTCATGCTGGTGGCCGGAACTGGATGCTGATATCAAGCATACTGCTAAGAATTGTGTTAAGTGTGTACATAAGATTCATAACAAGTCTTCACAGTGGCATCCGTGGCCAGTTACTTGTGAAGCATTTCAATGAGTTCATGCTGACTACTGTGGTCCTTTTCTTGGTAAATACTATGCTTTAATTCTTATTGACGCATATTCGCGTTGGCCTGAAGTTTTTCTAACTACTTCTCCAAGTGCCGAATTCACTCAGCAAGTCTTGAGGAAAGTATTCGGCCATGAATGTGTACCAACTGTTTTGGTCACTGACAACGGCACACACTTCACTGCAAAATTCCTCTAGGAATGGTTGAAGGGTCTTGGATGTCGGCATCTGTTTACTGCTCCGCAACATCCCCAGTCGAATGGACTTGCTAGAAATTTTGTCCAAACACTTAAGTCTGCCAATTTTTCACTCTCTCCTACTACTTTTTTGAAATTGGACCGTGGGATTGATAATTTTCTAATGCAATACAGGAACGCCGTTCATTCCGTTACTGGGAAGATTCCCGCGCTTCTATTTAAATCTCGTTCGTTACGTAGAAGTCTTGACTGTGCCAAAACGGCTGATGTTACATTTTTCAAGGGTAATGATTTACGACCCGCAACGGGAATAGTACTTTCATCAAATGGCAAACGAATGGTCACAAATCTCGTTTTGGATGATCTCTCTTGTCATCGGAGACACATTGACCAGGTAGAGTTCAATACCGAAGGTCAGTCTGTTAACGGCAATCCTGCTGTTTCAAATACTAATGAGTCCTTTGTAAATGATCCTATGGTATCTGAACAAAACATATCTGAAGAACACACAACCTGTGAAGAGTCTGAAGTTTCCGTTCCGTACATATTCGCCAATTCGAATACGTAAGTGATGGTTGTTACGCTTCGCTGAATTCTGGATTTCTAGTTTGTCGGGTTGTACCGATATACCTACGAAACTCAATTTTCACAGTCCAGCACCCCAGCATTCCGACAGTCCCTATCCGAACCTTAAATTGAGTATTCAGTTGCCGCACATCGCGTACCAGAAAGGCGGATAGCTTTGATAAGTCCACTAGGAGGCGGCTATTCCCTCTTATGCTCTACAGCAAGGATGGTACCACCCACATATTCCGGGTCGACAGTATTTTTGTCAACAACTACCTGAAGATGGGATCTTAATGCATGCTATCGTTCGTCTCATCACACCTCCGATCGCAAAACTGAGCAGAAAAGAAGAGAGTCGGCATCATTGTTGGACAGCACTTTCTGTAGGACAGCTGTCCGTATATCATCAGTTTCCCGGAACTCTGAGAAAACACTGAGCATATTCTTTTGGCAATATTCTGGAGGCGTTAGTTTTTGCACAGGGAGAAAAAACAAGTCAGCGGAATTGAAGGCGCCTTGGACATCAAGCAGTAGAAAAATCATGGGTCGCTCACACATTTCACTTTCCTGGACCACCTAAAGGAGCTTAGAAGTTTAGTCGACACAACGCCTGCCAGGCCGTTGATCTTGAGTCAATGCTTTGCGTGCCTGCAATGGGGGACAACGGATAAGGGGCACAAAGCGTTTAATCGTGACTGGAGTCAAGCCGGTCTCCCTACGCATGATGGAGTGCGAGCAGATTTGTGAATTTTCAGCATGCATTTTTTTCCCAGTGAATGGAGCTAATCTATGCTGAGAAGCCTAGCAACCGTTTGAGTATTATTTAGGTTCCTTAGTATTAGGCGTCCCCCGAAAACTGGAGAGTTTCGAACATTCTTGCACTTTTGATGGTCAAACTTTCGGCCGAGGGCTTATGAACATCAACGCGATAACATTGCAGTTAGACAGGATATAGTGCCAACCATCCGCCTGCCACAGGACGCATACGATATATTGCATTTCCCCTCGAGTTACAAATATTCAGGTGGATAAATTACTCAACATATGAAATTGTACTTCATCTGAGCTGCTTGTGCGTTGTGCGGTCGCGGTATAAAAGTCAGGTTCGAACGAGAGCTCAGTACAGGGTTGACACACTTGTTGATATCTACTGCATGCCACTCCCCTCGAATTCCCTTAGCAGCAGTTGCGCACCATTTAGATCGTTTGAATTTCCGACCTACTACAAACCTTATGCAATCGTGTTTTCTGAGCCTGACAGGCTCTCTCATCCACACGGGGACTATACACACATCTATTGGTGTTCGCAGGAAGGTCACCGGTATTGGACACCTCCCCTGTGGGGAGAATATACTCTGAACCACTGAACTACAGTACAGGGATTCTTTCGTCTACTCGTGAGTGATCTGCATAGGGATCGTTGGTATTCATAACACAATTGTAAAGATCCGGGCAGCCTTCAGTCGTCTGCAGTGGCACTCCCGACTTATTTATATTTCTATTTCCGCTGAGGCCCGTGACCTTCAAAGTTTCGTATGTGTCAACGGGTATTTACTCTCACACTGTGGGTTATTCGAAATCAGACCGATCTCCTCACTCTTGTGGAGATGGAATTCATCGACGATGAAGACAACATAATGTTGATAAATGATTTCAAGATTAAGTGGTTCAATTTGCTCTCAAGAGTCGACGCATGTATGTAGTCATTTGGAATGTAATTAGAGAAATTTAGCTCCAACTATTGATGAGATGGTATTGAGTTCATTGAATAGTATCGCCAACTTGCTAACATCCAATCGTCGCCTACAAAGAAATCTTGATCTATTATTTCAATATGCGTTGAAACTCAATGTCTTCGAATGCATATTCCGCTGGAACTTTGTATTTACGGGTGCCGATCTGGAGGCATTTAAGTTGAAAGAGCTGCAATTTTATGACACTTTAGTCACTGGAAACGGGAAATATTATCTTCGACATTCGGAGGTACGTCTACCAGTAAACACCAGGGCCAGTGTATTTGCCTGGTTCGTTTAACCTTGTGTGGTGCATGATTTCCCAATTACCCTGGCAGCACACGCAGTCCAAAATAACCGAGTTTTCCGGTTATACGACGGTTATACAACCGTCAAATAACTGCCTTTTATGGTTAACAGGTGGTTATTTGCACCAAAATAACCGTCAAACAACCGTGTTTTCCGGTTATTGCTCGGTTGAATAACCGTCAAATAACCGTGTGTGCCGGTTATTTCCTCGGTTGAATAACCGTTCGCCGGTTATTAATCGGTTAAATAACCGTCAAATAACCGACTTTAACCGCCATATAACCGACTAATAACCGAGTTGTGCTGATAGGGTAGCTTTATTTTTTAGCCGTATTACGTGACCCGGAACGTATTATTTCGGATAAGTCTGGAGAGTGCATTCGACGTCTAGGTTGTGATTTTATGTGCTAACTGCTCCTTACGCTAAAGACTTTAACCCCATATAACCGACTAATAACCGAGTTGTGCTGATAGGGTAGCTTTATTTTTTAGCCGTATTACGTGACCCGGAACGTATTATTTCGGATAAGTCTGGAGAGTGCATTCGACGTCTAGGTTGTGATTTTATGTGCTAACTGCTCCTTACGCTAAATCCTGTTCGTATTTAGTGCATTGGTAATAATGTGACCGGTTGTACGAGGAAATGAATTCGGAAAGGTGCGGTGCGCTGCTGAGGCACCGCAAACTCCTGCGCTTAGTGGTTGGGGTAATTTTCATGGTTGAAACAACTTTTAGTACACAGCTGTTGAATGAAAATGTAGTTATAATAATTGTAAATGAAACATTCGTAATTATTCATACAAAATCTGTCAAAAAGCCTGTCTTTTCGGAAGTAAAAACCCACTCGTGCTGCCAGAAGCAGCCCACAGCAGATACCGAATAGTTGCAGTCAAAAATAGGAGACAAAAATACGCAGTATGACGAAACATGTATTGGAAAACAGGTGCCAAAGGGGGTCGCTGGAGTCACATATTCGTCTATTCACATCAAATTGTACAGTGATATATCTAAGATCGTCCAAGCTTGAACTGAAAACACGGCACAGGAATCTTAAATACCGTAAACCAAGTCCTGTTAGTGGGTGTATGCGTAAAAGTCCTCCCGTAGCTAGGATTAACCAGTACGGTCATGCTCCTGCGGCGTGACGGGGTAAGCTGGATGGTTGGCAAAATGGAAGTACTAAGTAACCGAATCGTGAGATATTTACAGTGATTCCTTTTCATATTGATGGCGTACGGGCGTCGGGAACCAGTTCGATTAGATGTAATAGCCACTGTCAGGAGACGCAACAATCATAATTGTGGGACGAAGTCACAGTGGTAAGCGTTTAGTTCTCGAAATACGCTGAAAGACTTACGATACATTTCCAAAAGTGGGGAGTATCTTGACGCGTCCGGACATGAAGATTACGTGTGCAGGGAACGACACGTTACCAAGGTCACCATTGGTCCCACGCGTTCCGGATAGGAGGTGCGTTGGCGGAGCCTACCAAACACGGCTTAGCAGCACGTAACCAGCGCAATGAAGTAATTCACGACAGAAACATCGTCATTAGATGTACAAAACGAACATTTGAACGACCATATTTGGCCCTTTAGCCATCCTATATATTTACACAGAAACTCCGTATGTTTGTCCTGACAATACAGCAGTGCCTCAGTTTCTCTATTTTCTCCTCATCGCGTAGTCTGCCAGGCTCAGTGCAGGTGTAGCCAACCACGATGCAACAACGGCTTTGATTCACTTTTCAAATGGCGGGTCAACCGAGGTAATTAGATCCGCCTGAAATGTTGAAAAACTATCTGGATAAAATGTATGGGGGGATGAATAAGAATGAGAATTGATTCGTTTGTTGTTGTCCTGTTCTTGGAGAAGCGAATATCTGAGAGGTGGGGCGGTTGCTTTGGTGAGCTGTGGGAGAGCAATGAGATGGTCAAATAGGCTTCGGTCGCCCAGGGAAGTCACCAAAATTTCTGTCTTTGGCTTCAATATTTGTAGCATTCGCCACTTAATTGTCAAACTGCTCTTTATGTTGGATAGTCTGTTCCTTTGGGTATGACCGGCTCTTGATAGACCATGATCTATTGAACAAGATCAAGCTGATGGTTGTTGTCCCGGGTGCTTTTTCGGCATAGTCCCTGAGCACCACTGGTGCTGAGAGCTACACAGCAATGGAATGAGGTATAATTTCTGCCCAACCTCTGTTAAACCAACCTCTGTACTAGCAGTAGACGGCATCATGTGTTCCAAAACCTCGAATGGACCCTAATAGTTCACATTTGTTGACATCAACGCTCTTGTTGTGTTGGCCGAGGCAAAGAAGAAATTGACTTGTGGGAATCCACGTTCGCCAACAGAAACACTGGTCATCAGAACAGGCTATTGGCCTACATCATGGAAAAAACGATGGACGATGTGGGCGGTAGCACTTGGACAAAAAGATATATGCAGGAATCCAAGTAGGTCAAATTGCGTCATAGCACCCGCCATAAAAGCTCTGGATTCAGCAACCAAGGCCCGTATATGATCTATCCTTCTGTGAACACAGCTTTTTCGGTATACCTGAGACGTTATGTATGTGTGATACAGGATACAAATTAGATGCGTTAATTTCGTTTAGCGCTTGATAATCTCCACGAAATCTTGTGCATCCGAATTAACCTTGGATGCCATCTGGGGTAGCATTGTCTTCGGACTGTGGGACGGTGGAATATATCCAAACTCAGAGTACCAGTCACCAGCCTGTGTAAGCGACTACGTTCTGGTGATCCGTGGGTGAAAGTGTAGTGTTCAACCTTCATTGTGTCCCTTGTAGCTCACTCGCGAATCTGGAGAGCCTTGAAAGCTAAGTTGAAAGCTGTTTTCGGTTGCAGTACATCGGCCTGACTACCTGAACGTTGTTTGAGTGATCACCCACCTGGGTGTGCTCAAGGTGATTCACCTGCGGTGGTGGCCAGAAGATCAAACTAATGCAGCAAGTGTATGCCCAAAATGACCCAACAAAACGCCGACGGTCAAGAAAAAATATGGAAATTATGTGGGTTCCGTGGTTAACAGTAAGAAGATGCCCACCGAATAATTCCATAATTGTACCATAGGCATCTGTAGGCGTAAGGAAATTTGTGGGTTGATCACCAGTTCTGAGAGTAACTAAACTGACCATAGCTTTTGCACCGAATAGGTAGTTGTGTGCCCTTAACGCATGGAAGGCTACCCTGAGAGCTCCTGGTAGTGATGGCCGCAAACACGTGCTTCCTAATTCTTCTGCGATGAATGGTGGTGAATGCACGGTGCCCCATAGCATTGACAAAATTTGGGCTGTATTAGCATATGGCGCTTAGCTCCGGGTTGCTGGACCAGATTCCCGGGGACTCATCAAACCTAACGGATGATGGCAGTTTAACGATCTGACTCTTCTAGCTGATCGCGGATGACCGCAAGTTTAGAAGTTAGATTGGCTTACCTGAAACCAATGTCTTTTCTCAGTCTGGCGTGTCAGAATGTGTCAGAAACCATGCTAGGCATACAGAAATTCACCATATCTTACCTGAAACAATTACGCAAGCTGATTCTGATAATGTTCTTTAGTTAGCAATGGCGTCGACAGCTGCCTCTGTGGACATGCCAGATTAAGCGTCGATCAAGTTCTGCATTTAATTGAGTCATCGCCCCATCTCCAGCCTTTTGACATTGCCGCTTCTGAAAAAGTTTTTTGTCGCGTTTTAAGTTTACTGCAAGAGGATGTACCATTTCCAACCACAGGACTCGATATACGTACCAATGAGCCTAATACAAGCATACTCCACTGGAACTTGTTCCAATGTGATCTGTACTTTCTCCGCCACGTACCACTTCATTAGGTCTCCGTTGGGCACTTAGTCTTTTAGAAGAGTGGTAACGCCACGAAGGAGCCTGAGGACCTATATGAAGAAACACTTCTGTCCATTGCAGCGTTCCTGTTGTATAGCGAAGAGCGGCGTCATATTTGTGTAATCAGCACCAGGAGGTGACGGATGCTAGAGTGATTCACGAATAATCTGCGCCGAGAATTTCGGGATTGTTGTCACAGAAATTCCAGCGAATTCGTATGCTTTGCAAATGATGTACCTCAGTTTAAATTATGTACTGGCTTTCTACTAAATCTGTCCAAAACACTCCTTTTTGGATCCGATACTTGACGCGTGAAATCACTGCAGTGGTGCTATAGATCGTTAGAAAATAACGGCCTTCCAGCTCAGCCACCGCTATTAATAGAAAATATCACGGCAGAAATACTGTTGAAGCGGTGGATTTCAAAGCGCGGGAATCAATAGTAAAAAAATACGGCTAATTCGGCGTAAGCATTAGGCATTTACCTACGGCTGAAGATTCATCGGAGTTCTCTTCCAAAGAGCGTGTTGGATGCACGCTCTGTTGGATGAGGTCAAAGTCGCATGTGCTTTTAGAAATTTGCGAAGGCGGTTACAGCGTGTAGTACGGAGCGGCGGTAAACCAGTAATTTGTGAGCAATATGTGAAGAATTCAGAGAACTCAGTCAGTCTGCCTAGGTTGGAAGAGGTACTTAGGTAGCCTTTTATAACCTCAGATACAACCCATTAAGTATTCGCCAGTCTGAATCCTACAGCTGTATGCCGTCCTCAGGTTGACGCGCCGTATCAACCTACAGAAGGCATTCCAGCGGAGCATATTATCATCATCTTTTCAAAGACGGGCTTCTGATACCAGCAAACCAGTTTGCCACCCTTCTTAGCGGTTTTCGGGCCGTAGGGGAAATACCCAGTGACTGGTAGCAGACAAAATCGTCCAGCTCTACGAAAACCCTGAACGTGATATCAGTCTCACTAAAATTTTGACATCTGTTACACGTCACCGACTAAATACGATAAGTGGTGCAGGCATCGAACGGAGGGTAGTCCGCTGACACAACTGCTGTGATGACCA